ACATAATTATTATTTAAAGTTCACCCAACATTCATCTTTTTCACAACTATTTAGTTACATGTTCCCAATAATTATTTAGGTTGCCTACAAGACTTCATAAGACTTCAGATAAAATTAGCCACCATTTGAATTACTATTTTTGTTAACCAGTTCTGTAATAGAAATAACATCAGTTTTTTCCCTACAAAATTTCATGTAAATTTCATCATCTCTTATACCTTTAAACGTAGTTATCATTAAGATTTTTATCAATAGGTCTTGGTCTTTTAATTTTGGACAAGGGAAGCATTCCCAGTCAGACATTTTAAAACATACTCAGGCAAAGTTGATGTAACCTCTTTATATAAAATTAGCTCAAACATTCCAACCTTTATAATCTTATCAACACTTACACTTTTACATGTTCTCAATTCAATTGTAACCTGAGTCAAGGTCTTAAGGCTAGTCAAATTTTTCCCTTCATTTTTCTGGCCTTAATTCTTAGGTACCAATTAAACAATTATGTGAGAGCTCTCAAAACATTTTTTCCCCCAATTTAGAAGTTTTCCCAATTCAAAGGATCCGTCGTCTGGCCATTGATGTGTAGGATCTTCATTTGTATATTTATTCCAATAGTGACTCGATCCAATAAGCCTTTTTAAGGAAAGACCCGGAGGTAACTTTCCACGCTTAGAATAAATCTTTACCATGGACACAAGAGGCGTCCCTGGTGAGGGCGCAGATGATGTAGCCCCCATGATCCACAGAATACACTCCCAAAGATATTCAGAGAAAGTAAAGACCTTCGTTGCACAGGCGGTAAGGATGGTGTAGTGCTCCGGTCTCCCACAATAGTGTGGGACGCCTCCAGTCACAGACCCGCTAATCTGTGACACCGGACAGGCCATACTGGAATGGGATTTTTCTAGCACTAACAAGCAACAAAGGTTAAGATGACAAAAGCCCTTATGGACTGGGCCCTTTATGACAAACGCCCCCGAGAGGTTGGCACAGCAGGACAAAGACAGTTCGGAACCCCAGTCTACTCAACTGGCCACCAAGGGGCACCCCGGTAAATCCACCTTCCGTATGGTGGAGACCAAGGAGAATATTCTCACTGGTCACAAAGCCAAGTTTTCTCAGGACACAGAACAAGACAGA